ATGCAGAGCCCCCACCGATCCTGTCACTGCGGGAGATCCCGCCACACAGGAATCAACAGAACTCACAGATGTGACAGCGCCGTCCCTACCATCCCATAATACTGTTGTTGTTATAACCTGTGCAAGTATAAGGGGTCACTCCACCCAGAAGTCTCATTTTTTTGGGGGGTCAGTACTGGTTGTGCCCATTATGAGGGGTTCTCACCATCCCTGTGCTGAGTTCCCGGGTCTGTACACCCGCTGTGCCCATTATGAGGGGTTCCCACCATCCCTGTGCTGAGTTCCCGGGTCTGTACACCCGCTGTGCCCATTATGAGGGGTTCCCACCATCCCTGTGCTGAGTTCCCGGGTCTGTACACCAGCTGTGCCCATTATGAGGGGTTCCCACCATCCCTGTGCTGAGTTCCCGGGTCTGTACACCCGCTGTGCCCATTATGAGGGGTTTCTTACCATCCCTGTGCTGAGTTCCCTGCTCTGTACGTCTGCTGTGCTCATTATGAGTTCCCACCATCCCTGTGCTGAGTTCCTGGGTCTGTACAACCGCTGTGCCCATTATGAGGGGTTCCCACCATCCCCTGAATCCCTGTGCTGAGTTCCCGGGTCTGTACACCCACTGTGCCCATTATGAGGGGTTCTCACCATCCCTGTGCTGAGTTCCTGGGTCCGTCGTACACCCGCTGTGCCCATTATGAGTTCCCACCACCATACACCCGCTGTGCCCCCTGTGATGAGGGGTTTCCCAGATCTGTACACCCGCTGTGCTCATTATGAGTTCCCACCATCCCTGTGCTGAGTTCCTCGGTCTGTACACCTGTGTGCCCATTATGAGGGGTTCCCACCATAGATCGCCATGGGCACCATTCATAGAGCACTTTTCATTTTCTCAATGAACGCAAAGAGTTCTCTGATTGGATGAGGTGGAGATCATGATGTCACCCCCTCCACCTCATCCAATCAGAGAAAAATCAATGTGCAGAAGTCGTTTTTTTTTCTGTTAGTGATCTGTGATGAAGCTGAGTTTATTGTAACTTCTAATGCAAGCAATGTAAGAACCTAAAGGTGACGTGGTGTCAGCCTTTTGCAGTCCTTGTATAGCAGTGCTTAGACTAGGAGATAGAGAAGCAGCACAAGGAGCCAATCAGTTGTGCTGCCGTGCAAAGATCGTGCTAATAGGAGGAGAGAGCAGAGTGATGGAGAGGTGAGCTCACCGGTTTGCTGCATTTCCTGTCTAGTCATGGGGCGGGGGTGGGGCAAGACCTGTGCACGTTACTGAACTGCGGTTGAGCGAATTAGGTCTTATCCTCCATCCCGTTGTGTGTGGCAGAGTTGTGTAAATCTCAGGAATGGATGGACAGAAGTACAAATTCTTTGGCAGCCCCTATAGGCAGTGTATATTTCCCCGTATTTAGCTGTTTGACTGGAGTTCAGCTTTAAGCTGCTTCTCTATACTCTGCATCTGCATTTGTCCAGAGAATGCAGGCCGAAATCTGGAGACTTCATGCCTCGGGGTCACCCTGGGCCTTCCCCAGCCTGTCCAGGCGGGGGGGGGGGGGGGGTTTGCACGGTGGTCCTCTCTGATTGGTGTGTCAGGGAGGTTTGAAGTCCCGGGAGATGAACTGCACCCAGCAGGGATGGGAGGGAAGGAAGGCTGGAATAGGAGGAACACAGGGACTTCGGGGACTCTGGCATCATGTCAGGACTCAGAGATGACCCAAATTTCTTCTCCTCCTCAGGGTCCGGGATCAAGAAGTTCTTCAGCCGAGAGTCGTCACCGACCAAGAAAGTGCCGGTAAGTCATCCTGCAGTGCCTTAACCGTTTTCTTACCACAAACAAGGCAGAATTTCATCCAGATGTCCAGATTCTGAGCCGGAGAGGAACATCAGCCTGAGACCATGGGAGACCTGAGAGTCCAGAGAGGGACATCAGCCTGAGACCATGGGAGACCTGAGAGTCCGGGGAGGGACATCAGCCTGAGACCATGGGAGACCTGAGAGTCCGGGGAGGGACATCAGCCTGAGACCATGGGAGACCTGAGAGTCCGGAGAGGGACATCAGCCTGAGACCATGGGAGACCTGAGAGTCCGGGGAGGGACATCAGCCTGAGACCATGGGAGACCTGAGAGTCCAGGGAGGGACATCAGCCTGAGACCATGGGAGGCCTGAGAGTCCAGAGAGGGACATCAGCCTGAGACCATGGGAGACCTGAGAGTCCGGAGAGGGACATCAGCCTGAGACCATGGGAGACCTGAGAGTCCGGGGAGGGACATCAGCCTGAGACCATGGGAGACCTGAGAGTCCGGAGAGGGACATCAGCCTGAGACCATGGGAGACCTGAGAGTCCAGAGAGGGACATCAGCCTGAGACCATGGGAAACCTGAGAGTCCAGAGAGGGACATCAGCCTGAGACCATGGGAGAACCTGAGAGTCTGGGGATGGACATCAGCCTGAGACCATGGGAGACCTGAGAGTCCGGGGAGGGACATCAGCCTGAGACCATGGGAGGCCTGAGAGTCCAGAGAGGGACATCAGCCTGAGACCATGGGAGACCTGAGAGTCCGGGGAGGGACATCAGCCTGAGACCATGGGAGACCTGAGAGTCCAGAGAGGGACATCAGCCTGAGACCATGGGAGACCTGAGAGTCCGGGGAGGGACATCAGCCTGAGACCATGGGAGACCTGAGAGTCCAGAGAGGGACATCAGCCTGAGACCATGGGAGACCTGAGAGTCCGGGGAGGGACATCAGCCTGAGACCATGGGAGACCTGAGAGTCCAGAGAGGGACATCAGCCTGAGACCATGGGAGACCTGAGAGTCCGGGGAGGGACATCAGCCTGAGACCATGGGAGACCTGTGAGAGTCCAGAGAGGGACATCAGCCTGAGACCATGGGAGACCTGAGAGTCCGGGGAGGGACATCAGCATGAGACCATGGGAGACCTGAGAGTCCGGGGAGGGACATCAGCCTGAGACCATGGGAGCCTGAGAGTCCAGAGAGGGACATCAGCCTGAGACCATGGGAGACCTGAGAGTCCGGGGAGGGACATCAGCCTGAGACCATGGGAGACCTGAGAGTCCAGAGAGGGACATCAGCCTGAGACCATGGGAGACCTGAGAGTCCGGGGAGGGACATCAGCCTGAGACCATGGGAGACCTGAGAGTCCAGAGACGGACATCAGCCTGAGACCATGGGAGACCTAAGAGTCCAGAGAGGGACATCAGCCTGAGACCATGGGAGACCTGAGAGTCCGGAGAGGGACATCAGCCTGAGACCATGGGAGACCTGAGAGTCCGGAGCGGGACATCAGCCTGAGACCATGGGAGACCTGAGAGTCCAGGGAGGGACATCAGCCTGAGACCATGGGAGGCCTGAGAGTCCAGAGAGGGACATCAGCCTGAGACCATGGGAGACCTGAGAGTCCAGAGACAGACATCAGCCTGAGACCATGGGAGACCTGAGAGTCCGGGGGAGGGACATCAGCCTGAGACCATGGGAGGCCTGAGAGTCCCAGAGAGGGACATCAGCCTGAGATCATGGGAGACCTGAGAGTCCGGAGAGGGACATCAGCCTGAGACCATGGGAGACCTGAGAGTCCGGGGAGGGACATCAGCCTGAGACCATGGGGACCTGAGAGTCCGGAGAGGGACATCAGCCTGAGACCATGGGAGACCTGAGAGTCCAGAGAGGGACATCAGCCTGAGACCATGGGAAACCTGAGAGTCGGAGAGGGACATCAGCCTGAGACCATGGGAGACCTGAGAGTCTGGGGATGGACATCAGCCTGAGACCATGGGAGACCTGAGAGTCCGGGGAGGGACATCAGCCTGAGACCATGGGAGGCCTGAGAGTCCAGAGAGGGACATCAGCCTGAGACCATGGGAGACCTGAGAGTCCGGGGAGGGACATCAGCCTGAGACCATGGGAGACCTGAGAGTCCAGAGAGGGACATCAGCCTGAGACCATGGGAGACCTGAGAGTCCGGGGAGGGACATCAGCCTGAGACCATGGGAGACCTGAGAGTCCAGAGAGGGACATCAGCCTGAGACCATGGGAGACCTGAGAGTCCGGGGAGGGACATCAGCCTGAGACCATGGGAGACCTGAGAGTCCAGAGAGGGACATCAGCCTGAGACCATGGGAGACCTAAGAGTCCAGAGAGGGACATCAGCCTGAGACCATGGGAGACCTGAGAGTCCAGAGAGGGACATCAGCCTGAGACCATGGGAGACCTGAGAGTCCGGAGCGGGACATCAGCCTGAGACCATGGGAGACCTGAGAGTCCGGGGAGGGACATCAGCCTGAGACCATGGGAGACCTAAGAGTCCAGAGAGGGACATCAGCCTGAGACCATGGGAGACCTGAGAGTCCGGGGAGGGACATCAGCCTGAGACCATGGGAGACCTGAGAGTCCAGAGAGGGACATCAGCCTGAGACCATGGGAGACCTGAGAGTCCGGGGAGGGACATCAGCCTGAGACCATGGGAGACCTGAGAGTCCAGAGAGGGACATCAGCCTGAGACCATGGGAGACCTGAGAGTCCAGGGAGGGACATCAGCCTGAGACCATGGGAGACCTGAGATGATGTTAAGATTTCACAAAAGATTCTGGAAACAAACGCAGAGCGCGAGTAATATAAAGTACAGCCCAATGCAGGGAGTACTGCTCCACTATGCCTGTTACTCGGTGTAAAAATCGAATGTGTATTGTAACACCGAGAGACAGAATACAACAACAAATTCAGCAGAAATGCCTCTAACAAATGATGACGGATCTGCATGTTCATGAGGGAAAGAAGGATTTGATCCCCTATCATTCAGCAGGATTTCTGGCTCCCAGGTGTCTCTCATGCAGGTAACAAGCTGAGATTAGAAGCAGTCTCTTAAAGGGAGTGCTGCTAATCTCATTGTGTTACCTGTATAAAAGACACCTGTCCACAGGAGCAATGAATTTGTTGTTGTATTCTGTCTCTCGGTGTTACAATACACCGAACATTCGATTTTTAGACCGATCATTTCTTTGTGAGGGGCGAACATTCAACATCAGCCGGGGAGCAAATACGCATTTCCTTCACTGTATTACTATAGAGACTATATGGTACCAGTGGGAGGAATAGTGCCCCATCATTGGTGTCAGTGGGAGGAATAGTGCCCCATCACTGGTGTCAGTGGGAGGAATAGTGCCCCATCATTGGTATCAGTGGGAGGAATAGTGCTCCATCATTGGTGTCAGTGGGGGGAATAGTGCCCCATCATTGGTGTCAGTGGGAGGAATAGTGCCCCATCATTGGTGTCAGTGGGGGGAATAGTGCCCCATCATTGGTGTCAGTGGGAGGAATAGTGCCCCATCATTGGTGTCAGTGGGAGGAATAGTGCCCCATCATTGGTATCAGTGGGAGGAATAGTGCCCCATCATTGGTATCAGTGGGAGGAATAGTGTCCCATCATTGGTGTCAATGGGAGGAATGTTGCCCCATCATTGGTATCAGTGGGAGGAATAGTGCCCCATCATTGGTGTCAGTGGGAGGAATAGTGCCCCATCATTGGTATCAGTGAGAGGAATAGTGCCCCATCATTGTTGTCAGTGAGAGGAATAGTGCCCCATCATTGTTGTCAGTGAGAGGAATAGTGCCCCATCATTGTGTCAGTCAGTGGGAGGAATAGTGCCCCATCATTGGTGTCAGTGGGAGGAATAGTGCCCCATCATTGGTGTCAGTGGGAGGAATAGTGGCCCATCATTGGTGTCAGTGGGAGGAATAGTGCCCCATCATTGGTATCAGTGGGAGGAATAGTGCCCCATCATTGGTGTCAGTGGGAGGAATAGTGCCCCATCACTGGTGTCAGTGGGAGGAATAGTGCCCCATCATTGGTGTCAGTGGGAGGAATAGTGCCCCATCATTCTTATCAGTGGGATGAATAGTGCCCCATCATTGGTGTCAGTGGAGAGATTAATACCCCATCATTGGTGTCAGTGGGAGGAATAGTGTCCCATCATTGGTGTCAGTGGGAGGAATAGTGTCCCATCATTGGTGTCAGTGGGAAGAATAGTGCCCCATCATTGGTGTCAGTGGGAAGAATAGTGCCCCATCATTGGTGTCAGTGGGAAGAATAGTGCCCCATCATTGGTGTCAGTGGGAAGAATAGTGCCCCATCATTGGTGTCAGTGGGAGGAATAGTGGCCCATCATTGGTGTCAGTGGAGGGAATAGTGCCCCATCATTGGTGTCAGTGGAGGGAATAGTGCCCCATCATTGGTGTCAGTGGAGGGAATAGTGCCCCATCATTGGTGTCAGTGGAAGGAATAGTGGGCCATCATTGGTGTCAGTGGAGGGAATAACACCCAATGATTGCTGTCAATGGTAACAACGGTGCCTCATAATTGGTGTCATAGGTCAATACTCCAAGGAGTACCTGTACCTATATTAGGCAATGCTTCCCAGCCTCCCCCCGATCCCCGCTCACTCTCGTGCGTTCTCTCCTGCAGCGAATATGTGGAACCAACTACCCGCTGAGTATTTTGTTCATCATCGTCAACGAGTTCTGCGAGAGGTTCTCCTTCTACGGGATGAAAGGTGAGGACTGATGACACCACTCACCTCTGATTGCTCACCTCTGCCGTGTAGATGTACAGACAGACGCGGTCCAAAGTACGGGGGGGGAGCGCCGGCGAAGCCGCAGTGAGCCCTGACCTTGGAGATCGCGGTATCTTTTATTGCTCTGATTGGCTGTGGCAGGGACGGGGCGGAGCCGCTAGAGGAGCTAATCACATACACAGCAGATGGTTGTCAGATCCAGCAGAACAGGAATAGAAATATTGAAATCCTTTATTACAATCTGCCCAAAGGCGCTCCTTGGATGACGCAAATCAAACAATCGGGCCGTAATCCTATCCAATGTAAAAAGGTGAAAGGTTTTATGAATGAACACAGTGTGTGATCGGTACTGATCACTCGTTGTGTTCATTCAGGAAAGGAGGGGGCTGGTAAATGTGACATCCTTTACCACTAGTACTCCTGTACGGGGCCCAGGTCAGAAGGGGGGCCCAGGCAGCTGGGTGAATTGGATGTGGGCTGGGAGGGTGCTCGGCACAGTGGGGGGCAATTACTGGAACCGATCGGTACCGATCACTCGTTGTGTTCATTCAGGAAAGGAGGGGGCTGGTAAATGTGACATATTTTACCACCAGCCCTCTTGTACGGGGCCCAGGCCAGAAGGGGGGTCCAGGCAGCTGGGTAAATTGGATGTGGGCAGGGAGGGTGCTCAGCAAAGTGGCGGGGCAGTTACCGGAACCGATCACTTGTTGTGTTCATTCAGGAAAGGAAGGGGCTGGTAAATGTGACATATTTTTCCACCAGTCCTCCTATACAGGGCCCAGGCCAGAAGGGGGGTCCAGGCAGCTGGGTGAATTGGATGTGGGCAGGGAGGGTGGTCGGCAAAGTGTGGGGGGCAATTGCTGGAACCGATCACTCGTTGTGTTCATTCAGGAAAGGAGGGGGCTGGTAAATGTGATGTATTTTACCGGACCCTTCCCCCGACACCATCCTGAAGGATCCTATTGTGTGCTTTCAGCTGCCGGTGGGGAGGAGAGGAGGGAAATCGGCAGTTCTGCAGGGGTGGGGTCACACGGGGGACCTGTATGGTGCACAGGGGGGTGATGGGTGAGGCGGGGGGGCAATTACAGAGAATGATCCCCTGTATAGTTCTCTCTGCAGCAGATGAAAGCCAGCTGGAGGGGGGGGGGGGGACAGGTCAGCTTTCAGCTGCTGCTATGAGACCCATACAGGGGATAGGTCCCAGTAATTGCCCCCCTGCCTCACCCATCACCCTGCCTGTGCACCGTATGTTTCCTCCTGCTGCCCAGGCACCCTTGTGTGCCCCCCCACCCCACCCCCACAGTGCTGCCAGCTTCCCTCATCTCCTTCCCACCGGAAGCACACAATAGGATCTTTCAGAATGGAGAGTGGGGGAAGGGTCCGGTAAATATGAATGAACACAATGAGTGATCGGTACCGATCGGTTCCAGTAATTGCCCCCCCCCCCCACTGTGCCGAGCATCCTCCCTGCCCACATCCAATTCACACAGATTCCTGGGCCCCCCTGCTGGCCTGGGCCCCGTACAGGAGGACTGGTGGTACCCCCTTATCCATGGCCCTGGTGCTTGGAAGGACCCTCCCCATCTCCCGCCATCACCTGCCATGGTTCCTGGGCTCCCATTTCTCCAGTAAGAGGTCAGGACGACTCCCTGCAGAGGAGATGGAGGAAAATCTTTTCCTTTGTGACGATCGAAGACACAGCCCATGTAATCCTAAGGAGAGCTGTACTCCAGGTGACTCCGGGAGTCCTGTTGCTCGTGTCTCTCAATGATTGGGGTCTCGGGGTGCATGCACAGCATGAAGAGGACGCTCCTGGAAGGAAAGCCGTGCACCTCCAGGCAGGGATGTACTGTGAAGAGTGCCAGATAAGGGACAGAGGTAAGTACTGGGGGTGGGGCTTGCCTTAAAGGGCACCTCCTACCACAGGTACACGCGTGCTCCAGAATTCACATCTATGTGTGAGGACATGACTGTTGTGTTATTTTCGTGATTTACCTTTTTTTGGAGTTCTGGCAACATTTGCTCCCGATTCCAAACTGAGGCCATTCTCCAGAATGACGTCCTCATGTCATAGGTAATATGAGGGTATGTGGGGTGGGGCCAGGGACAGTCAGGCTGGGGAGGAAAAAGCTAGATGGTGCTGGATGTCCTCCAGTCAGGGAATGGGGCGGAGCTCTATCTGAGTTGTTGCTGCTTCTAATGCACATTGTGAGAAGCTCCCAGTGTGCAGTGACATCAGAGGAAGTAATTCAGTCCAGGAGAGGAGCCGGTACACCTGTGCAAGACTGAAGGGGAGGAGCCTGTACACCTGTGCACGACTGAAGGGGAGGAGCCTGTACACCTGTGGAAGACTGAAGGGGAGAAGCTGGTACACCTGTGCAAGACTGAAGGGGAGGAGCAAATACACCTGAGCAAGACTGGAGGGGAGGAGCCGATACACCTGTGCAAGACTGAAGGGGAGGAGCCAGTACACCTGTGCAAGACTGAAGGGGAGAAGCCGGTACATCTGTGCAAGACTGAAGGGGAGAAGATGGTACACCTGTGCAAGACTGAAGGGGAGGAGCCGGTACACCTGTGCAAGACTGAAGGGGAGGAGCCAGTACACCTGTGCAAGACTGAAGGGGAGGAGCCGGTACACCTGTGCAAGACTGAAGGGGAGAAGATGGTACACCTGTGCAAGACTGAAGGGGAGGAGCCGGTACACCTGTGCAAGACTGAAGGGGAGGAGCCAGTACACCTGTGCAAGACTGAAGGGGAGGAGCCGGTACACCTGTGCAAGACTGAAGGGGAGGAGCCGGTACACCTGTACAAGACTGAAGGGAAGGAGCCAGGACACCTGTGCAAGACTGAAGGGGAGGAGCCGGTACACCTGTGCAAGACTGAAGGGGCAGAGCCGGTACACCTGTACAAGACTGAAGGGAAGGAGCCGGTACACCTGTACAAGACTGAAGGGGCAGAGCCGGTACACCTGTGCAAGACTGAAGGGGAGGAGCCGGTACACCTGTGCAAGACTGAAGGGGAGGAGCCGGTACACCTGTGCAAGACTGGAGGGGAGGAGCAGGTACACCTGTGCAAGACTGGAGGGGAGGAGCAGGTACACCTGTGCAAGACTGGAGGGGAAGAGCCGGTACACCTGTGCAAGACTGAGGGGAGGAGCCGATACACCTGTGCAAGACTGAAGGGGAGGAGCCAGTACACATTTGCAAGACTGGAGGCGAGGAGCCGGTACACCTGTGCAATACTTCAGTCTCCTTCAGTCTTGCACAGTTGTAGCGATTCCTTCCCCAATGAGATAGTCAGGCTGATTTGCAGTCTGACATGTTTCAGGCACTGGGGGCTAGATTTTGACGTTAAATATACCTATTATTCATTATGACAGGTACCTCCCTGTAAGTAATAATACACATTGTTTGCTTTACAGCTGTCCTGACTCTCTACTTTGTGAACTACCTGCACTGGGACCGGAACCGCTCCACCACCATCTACCATGCCTTCTCCGGGCTCTGCTACTTCACCCCACTCATCGGAGCCCCCATCGCTGATGCCTGGTTGGGCAAATTCAAGTGAGTTCCATGGTGTTTTCTCTCTCCAATCCTTTTGCCCTCCAGAAGACTGACCCCCCCGACCAGGCAATTATTTGCCATACGGCACTGCACTATATTAACTGATCATTGAGCGGTCATGCAACGCTGCACCCAAATTAAATTTCTATCACTTTTTTCCACACAGATAGAGCGTTCTTTCGGAGGTATTTGATCGTCACTGTTTTTTTTTGTTTTTTTTTAACTGTAAATGAAAAAAGGCTGAAAATTTTAAAACTTTTTTTTTTACTTTTCGCTATAAAACATCCAATTTAAAAAAATCTAAATAAATTTAGGCCAAAATCTATTCCGCTACATGTCTTTGGTAGAAAAAAAATTCCAATAGGTGTATATTTATTTGTTTAAGTGAAAGTTGGCGGGATATATGCTGGAATTTTTTTTTTCTTTCATCCTAGTAATGGCAGCAATCAGCAACATATAGTGGGATGGTGAAAGTGCGGCGGGCATTCTGACACTAACTGACACTTGGTGGGAACTGATTAACTGCTACTGACATCTCCGGTGACACCAATACAGTGATCAGTGCTAATAAATGTAATAAATCTAATGACACTGGGCAGGAAGGGGTTAATATCAGGGGCGATCAAAGGGTTAACTGCGTGTTAGGTAGCGATTACACTGTGTATTGTCCCCACTGACGGGAGAGAGATCTGTGTGTTGCTTACACTCACAGATCTCTCTCCTGTCAGCTGCTCCCCCTGATCACCGATACCACCGAGTCTCGGTCATAAATCGCTGGCAGTGACCCAGTGATTGACACCAACAGGAGCCAATGGCAGCGTGGGTAGGATGGCGTATGTGCGCCCCCTATCTGGAAATGTAAAATCACATATATATATGCGATTTTTGTGGAAAGCGGCCGCTCTACAGCAGTAAAACTACTAGAGGGCGGCCGACAAGTGGGAATGATTCTCTACACACACTGCTCAAAAAAATGGAAGGAAGACTCTGACAACCCATCAGATCTCAATGGGGAGGAATCTCCAGCTGGATCTCTATACTGACATGGACGGGGGATGGGTGAGGAACATACGTACGCCCCATCGTTGGATGGAAACGATCGACCTACAGAGGACTGAATTCAAAGACACCCCGAAAATCAAAGTGAAGAAATGATGCAGCAGGCGAGTCCATGTTGGTGAAATGTCATTGCAGCAACTCAGAATGGCCCTCAGTAGTCTGTGTGGCCCCCACGTGCTTGTATGCATACCTGACAACGCCGGGGGGGCTCCTAATAAGACCACGGATGGTGTCCTGGGGGATTTCCTCCCAGATCTGGACCATCACTGAGCTCCTGGACAGTCTGAGGTGCAACCTGGCGGAGTCGGATAGACCGATACATGACATCCCAGAGGGGTTCTACTGGATTTAGGTCAGGCGAGCGTGGGGGGCCATTCAATGGTATCAATTCCTTCATCCTCCAGGAACTGCCTACATACTCTCCCCACATGAGGCCGGGCATTGTCTGCACCAGGAGGAACCCAGGACCCCCTGCACCAGGAGGAACCCAGGACCCACTGCACCAAGAGGAACCCAGGACCCCCTGCACCAAGAGGAACCCAGGACACCCTGCACCAGGAGGAACCCAGGACCCACCGCAGCAGGAGGAACCCAGAACCCACTGCACCAGGAGGAACCCAGCACACTGCAACACTGCACCTGGAGGAACCCAGGACACACTGCACCAGGAGGAACCCAGGACCTACTGCACCAGTGTAGGGTCTGACAATGAGTCCAAGGATTTCATCCCCATACCTAATGGCAGTCAGGGGGCCATTGTCTAGCCTGTAGAGGTCTGTGTGTCCCTCCATGGAGATGCCTCCCCAGACCATCACTGACCCACCACCAGAACAGTCATGCTGAACCATGTTACAGGCAGCAGAACGTTCTCCACGGCTTCTCCAGACCCTTTCACGTCTGTCACATGTGCTCAGGGGGAACCTGCTCTCATCTGTGAAAAGCACAGGGTGCCAGTGGTGGACCTGCCAATTCTGGGGTTCAATGGCAAATGCCAATCTAGCTCTATGGTGCCGGGCAGTGAGCACAGGGCCCACTAGAGGACATCGGGCCCGCAGGCCACCCTCATGAAGTCTGTTTCTGATTGTTTGGTCAGAGACATTCACACCAGTGGCCTGCTGGAGGTCATTTTGTAGGGCTCTGGCAGGGCTCATCCTGTTCCTCCTTGCACAAAGGAGCAGATACCGGTCCTGCTGATGGGTTAGGGATCTTCTACGGCCCTGTCCAGCTCTCCTAGAGGAACCGCCTGTCTCCTGGAATCTCCTCCATGCTCTCGTCTCCTGGAATCTCCTCCATGCTCTTGTCTCCTGGAATATCCTCCATGCTCTTGTCTCCTGGAATCTCCTCCATGCTCTTGTCTCCGGGAATCTCCTTCATGCTCTTGTCTCCTGGAATCTCCTCCGTGCTCTTGTCTCCTGGAATCTCCTCCATGTTCTTGTCTCCCGGAATCTCCTCCATGTTCTTGAGACTGTGCTGGGAGACACAGCAAACCTTCTGCCAATGACACGTATTGAGGTGCCATCCTGGAGGAGTCGGACTGCCTGTGCAACCTCTGTAGGGTCCAGGTATGGCCTCATGCTACCAGTAGTGACACTGACCCTAGCCAAATGAAAAACTAGTGAAAAACAGTCAGAAAAGATGAGTAGGGAAAAAATGTGACCTGTAAAACCATTCCTGTTTTGGGGGTTGTCTCATTGTTGCCCATCTAGTGCACCTGTTGTTCATTTCATTAACACCAAAGAAGCTGAAACTGATGAACAAACCCCTCTGCGACTTACCTGACCAGATCCATATCCCAGGAGGTTCATGGACTTGATGCTGGACTTGGATTACAAAGTCTTCCTTTCATTTTTTTGAGCATTGTTAGTCTTTTGGTTTATATCATTTTTTTTGTATCTTTTGATTCTTTGTTGATTATATTAGTGGAGAGTTCACTGGGGTTTAGCGAAGAATTCTTCTACCTCCGGCTTGTGTCCTGGCATGGGGTGAAGAACATCGGAGGGATGAGGGATGGAGCGTCTCCTGCTCCGGGTGATCTGGTCATCTTCATATTCATGTATAAATCGCAGCAGTGCCCATTGTGAAGTCTATGGGGGGGGGGGATCCTATTGTGGATACATTGTGCGATCGCCGCACCTCATTACAACTCTTCTCTCTTCCCGCAGCACCATCTTTTGGCTGTCCATTTTGTACGTGTTCGGTCACGTGATCAAGTCCGTGGGCGCCATCCCGGACGTGGGAGGCACTGAGCTGCATGTGTAAGTAGGACAGCCCCCCAAAACACCATCATGACTTTGGTCAACGTACATGAGAAACGAAGCGTCCCCTGTATACAAGAGCAGGACCCCTTAATACATAACGTCTGTCTCCGCCTCTTTTTCAGGGTTCTGTCCATGATTGGTCTGGCCTGCATCGCCTTCGGCACCGGCGGTATCAAGCCCTGCGTCTCGGCCTTCGGGGGTGACCAGTTCGATGAAGAACATGTAAGATATTTTTTATGTCTTTGGAAAGGCGAGAGATGCTCAGAAATGTCCAGAAACACACAGGTTGCGTTTTGTAAGGGGTCGGTCCACCAGAAGGTGGTAATTCAGTTCTAGGTGGGGTCTGCTGAACGGAACGAGCGCTAGAGCCCACGGCCGGTCACAGGGGCTGATTTACTAAAACTGGAGGGTGCAAAATCTGGATTCAGACCAATCAGCTTCCTGGTTTAAGTGCCCAGTCGTACCACAATTTTAAGACTTGACATGTTTGGTATCTATTTACTCGACGCAACCCCATTTATAAATCAAACAAAAAATTTAAAAAATAGGTGTAATATTTGTGTGTTTGAACTGAAATTCATTTAATTTTTTTAATATTTTATTTTATGCTACAGTGGCGCAAATATTGTGCAATATAAAAATTACAACTGCTATCGTTTTATTCTCCAGGGCCTCTGCTTTCAGGAAGTAGATAATATTTGAGGGGTTTTAAGTAGATTTATGGCCAAAAAAAGTAGATTTTTATGTGTGTGCAAAGAATGAATAAAATTGCTCTAGAGCCAAATTGGTTAATTTTCACATCTCAGTGGAGCTGAAAATAACTCACTTTTTGGAAAATGTCCCGATGTGTCACTCAATTGAGGATTTTCTTTTTTTTGGTCTTCTTCAGGTAAAAGAGAGAGGAAAATTCTTCTCCATCTTCTATATGTCCATCAATGCCGGAAGTCTCATCTCCACCTTCGTGACGCCGATTCTCCGAGGTCAGATATTTTTATCCCCCTCCAGTCCAGCTCAACACTTGCAGGGCCGGTGATAGACTACTTTGCGCCCTAGGCAAGACCAGCTACCTGCCCCCCTCTCCCCCCCCCAAAAAAAAAAAAACTTCTCCTGCAGTTCTACTTCACCCCTCCTAGCGCACATCCTCCTTTCCCTCAAATTTTCCTCCCAAGCACAAATCCTTTCCCACAAATCCCCCCTCCTATCATAAATCCCCCTACTGCTGTCTCCAAGCAGAACCCCCTCCAAATTACCCTTCCCAGCACAAATTCCTCCTCCTAGCACAACCCCTCCCAAACCCCCCCTCTAGCACAATCCTCCCGCCCCCCCCCCAATCCCTCCTC